CCTTGCTGTTAGACTTGCTGTTCATTTCCTGTGATAAGATGGATACTTCTAACTTTTTTTCTACAGTGACTTAACTTTTTTTGTAGGTAAGATGCATGTTGCGGAAGGCTATACTTCAGCACTTTAATATTTTTACTCCCTTCAACATTTTTAAAATTAAATTAAGATTTTTATGCAAGTTAAAATGTACCAAAGTGTCGTTATAATTATAAATGTGATAGTAAGATAGAAAATAATAATAAATATTTTGTTCGCTTTTACTGAAAGTAAGAGTAATTTTTACTTTGTATTGAAAATAAGAATAATTTTTAGTTTGTATTAAAAATAAAAATAATTTTTTCTTTGTTGATTTAATAGTTAACATGTTAATCTAATTACTGAAATTAAATATTTTAATGCAAGTTAAAATATAACAAAGTATCATTATAATTACAAATGTGTTAATTAGTTAAAATGAGATTAATTTTGTTCATTTGTATTGAAAATAATAATTTTTGGTTTTTATTGAAAATAAGAATAATTTTGTTTCTTCATTTAACTGTTCATTTATTAAACTAATGACTGAAATATGTATGCAATAAATATATATTTATACAATTATACAAACATGAAATATTTATTTATACTTGTATAATTATCATATATAAGAAATATATATCATATAATATTACATGTAATACGTATTATACATAAATACTAAACATATCGCATAGGAAGCCTAGCACAAATATAATCCCTTTTAGCAACGCCTGCCTGTTCCAGTCGTACGTTTTCATTAAATGGGTAATTGTCTTCAATTTCATTAATTTCCTCAAGTTCAATATCATCCCTTCGTAATAAGCAAATATTATGCATAACACAACATGCGATGATAAACGGTGGAATAAAATGGAGTCTAACCATTGCAAGAAGTGTTCTTATACTACGGAATCTTGTTTTCAGTAATCCGAAAGCTCTTTCAATTGCTATTCTGCTTGACGAATGACAGAAATTAAAGTTTCTTTGTCTAATAGTGAGATGTCCGTTGTCACGATAAGGAACAATGACATTTTCGTGTAACTTATATGCAGCATCACCAAGGATGTGGCAGTTCTGGGGAAATTTATCAGGATCCCCCAACCACTGTTGCAACTCAGATAATCTAAAAACACGTTGATCGTGTACAGAACCTGGGTGTCCAACGTAACAGTGAATAAAATTTGTTCTATGGTCACATACAGCCTAAAAATCAGGAAGAATTATTACAGTCTATTTAGCATGTAAATATTTAGACTACATTGAACTTGCAGTAATTAAAATACGCAATTAAAATTTAAATATACTTTTATTTATATTTGAATATAAGATACACACCTGCAGTTGAATAGAATAATGGCCCTTACAATTTATATACGATACTGGTTCAATAAGAGGTACTGGAATATTTATGTGAGTACCGTCTATTGCTCCAATTACTTTCGGAAAACCACTGGTAGCTTCAAACCCAGTCCAAACTTCGTTGACACTATTTCTTGATGGCCATTTAATAATATTTGGTGCCAAATTATAAAGAGCAATTATGACTCTTCGTGTAGCATAAAAAGCAGTGGATCGACTGACATCAAATTTCTCACATATGGACCTGACAAAAAATCATTTGGCAATTGTAGACAAAAAAATTTTATTTAAAATATTTATACTTGTTTTTGTGCTGGATTCTGCAATATTCTACAAATGTATTTCTGAATTTAGCACGAAAACAAGCATTGTGTACCATCGAATTTACCTGTAAGAATCAGGTGTAGCCATACACCATAATGCAATAAGAAATTGCTTCTCCGGAGAAATCATTGGAAGACCCACACTTATTCTTTTCAATCTTGGAGCGATAATGGTAAATATATACTCAAATGTATCTCGGTTTATTCTGTCAGAAAACAGAAAGCTGTTATAAAATTTATTTGCTATTTAATTATATGTATAATTAACCACTTTCATATTACCTGAAATGTGACTTGAATTGATGATTATTATAAGCTGGCACAATGTTTTCAACGTAGTTTTCTAATTTTGGCAATTTTCTCTTATCCACCAAAGGTGTAAGATTTTCCATTTCATCTTCACTTTCAGATGACGTGAAATAATCTAATTCTTTCAAAATTAATACGACCCCGTTTAAAATTGTGGTTCGTTGCAGTGCAGGGCCCAATCTGTTTGCATCCTCCATGTTGCTTGCGCTCATGATACTAAAAAGCTGTTCGACAAGCTTGCAACCGTCAGCGTTATAATAGCTCTCCGAACGACAATATTAGTGTTAGCGCGTCGTAGCATGATAGCGATCTGCCCGAACGCAGCCTTAGAGTTGACTGCCTAGGGCTGCGTTCCGAAATTCACTGTCAGTACTGAAATTCTATAGTATACGTGACATGAATTATAGATTTTCAGTACTCGCAGTGAATTTCGAAACGCAACCCAGAACTGACAGTCTGTAGTATATACGACATGGGGTGCGTTCCACTTAACGCTCGCAAGGACACGGTGTTATTCTATTTTTGTTTAACATGCAATGAGCAACAAAAGATTTGTTCGAGTTACTTATACTATTCACACTTTTATACCTAATGCCCGTTGCACATTAGTGCACCTCGTACTATACAAATTTTCCAAAATACGTTCTGAAGACGCTTTTAGGACGGAGGGATGTTATCAGAATATTCTTAGGACGTCCTTTGAAAGTGTGAATTGTCTGAAAATAACTAATATCCAATAAGTTTATTCACATTAATTGAATTTTTTACACTTTTACACTTAGTGCACATTAATTCTTTAGAGGTTCTAAAAATGGCGTCATGTTTTCCGTTCATGTTACGAGTGTAAATGCAATTCTGATACACTTTTCACACATTCCTCCGTCCACAGAACATTCCTCCGTCCTGAAAACGTCTTCAGAATGTATTTTTCAAAATTTGTGTTGTTTTGAGTGCACTAGTGTGCAACGGGCATTAGATGTAAAAGTGTGAAAAGAACAAGCAACTCGAACAAACCTAAAGATAGAATTACGCTTGCGTCGTTGCGAACGTTAAGTGGAACGCACCCATGGGCTGTAGATATTTGTATTCGCAGTGTAAAGCAATGGCGTAGGATCATTAATGGTTAGGTGTACTCAGCCAATCATTGAAGTATGAAGTCCATTCGCAGTGTAGATAGGAACGCAACTGAAGTGTACTGCAACGGTTTTTATTATTATCACTAGTAGCGGACAGTCGTATGTCCGCCTCGTCGACAAACTACCGCGGTCCCCGGATCTCGTTTCGGACTCGCTAATTCCAGTTGGGCGCCAGGTGCGGTAAGGCCGCACCTCCTCACCAACAATTATCCGCCAAAATCTCTAAATGGTCGTCCGTCTTCGATATCGCGGGGACGGAACGGGACCGGTAGCTCTCTTTTGGTTTTAGTCGGAGTAGGGATGGGTTTAATCGATGTAGGTGGAAGCCGAGGAAAAGAAGGCCATCATACGTTCGGTAGAGATATTTATTATTGCGATACATGCACTGTAAGTGCCCGATTCGATCTCACGTTCGCGTCGATACGTTCACCCGATATATTATTCCCTATTGGGAGATCTCATATCGTTTCGCGCGACCACTCAGCATGCGGTAGGTTCCGAGCGACAATTTCACGAAAATGACGAAAAATACAAACGAATGGGAGGTCTTACAATTAGTCGGACTCCTCCTCGCCTGTCCCCCGGGTCGGTCGCCTCGCCTTTCGCTGGTCGTCTTAGCTGCCCCTCGGTAGCTCCGCGATATATCCGGGCTCGTCCGGGACCGAAAGTCGATCACGCGCGATTGAGATCTTTCACCAAAGGGAGTCGTCCTCGCTGCACCACGCCGACGAGAATACGGCACACGGCAACCGGTATCGCCTCGGTCAGCTCACAAGGCGATAGTTCCGAAATAGCTCGAGATTGGCGGTAAACGATAACAGATCGCGTTAACTTGCTAATCGCTCGTAGACAAGTCTTTCGATCCCGCATTGTTCTCGCTTTTTCTCTGCTCGGCGAGCCTCCCCCCCCTCTCTCTCTCTCTCTCTCTCTCTCTCTCTCTCTCTCTCTCTCTCTCTCTCTCT